TGAGCTGAACCTTAAATATAGGCCCAATGAAAATACTGGAGACAAGCTTTCCCCAAAGATGGGTTGAGTTTCAGAGTGAGAGTGGACATTTGAGGAGTTTCTCTCCACTACAGTACATCTTGGAGGGGTTGCATGAAGCAGGCAAGGGAAAAGCTTACTATGGACTAGGGTATTTCACCCACTGGGAAGCAATGGGGGGATTTTCAGCTAACATGGAACACAATCAGATCTTGTTTTTTTGTTATTTTTTAAAATATATTTTATTGATTTCAGAAGGGGGGAGGAAGAGGGACAGAGAGAAAATCAATGATGAGAATCATTGATCAGCTGCCTCCTGCATGCCCTACACCGGGGATTGAGCTCACAACTCAGGCTTGTGCCCTGACCAGGAATAGAACGGTGACCTCCTGCTTCATAGGACAACGCTCAATCAGCGAGCCACACCATCAGGACAGTTCATGGTTTTTCTTAAATTACTAATACACTTGAGATTAGGGGGACAAAGGGCTCAGGGGAGATTGAGGAATGACACCAATAGCCACCACACTCTGAAGTCAGAGCTCCAACAGCCCTAAGGGAACTTTAATTAGATTCCCAGGTATTCTAAGTCCCACATACACCATGCTGACATCTAGTAGTCAAGGCCGATAAGGCACCACCTTACATTTTGGTCACTACCATTACCTTTTCTCTGGATGAAGCCATGACTTTTTTCTATTGCCTCAGAAAAACTGATGTAATCAAGAGTCAAAGACACATTCCTGGGAGGATGTGTATCTCCAGACCACTCAAAGCAGGTCCAAAGCCTTTGATTAGGGGGAGAGCAAAAGACAAATTATCTCTTTACTTCCAGATAGCACATTAACAAATGAAAGTATAATTTGGTGGTACATAGAATGTTTAACCCTTAACAGGGAAAGTGTTTTGTTTCCAAAGAGTGGGACTCTTCTCAAACATGTGTTCATAAGGCCCTTTGCATCCAGCCCCTGTGAGAGAAAGTGCCCAGGTCTCCAGCTAATCTCTTTCCAAACTTCCTCACTCATTTTGCTACAACCACACCAGCTTGTTTGCTTGCTTGCTTATTTATTTATTTATTTAAAAGAATAGTTCGTTGATTTTTAGAGAGAGAGGGAGAAGAAAGAAAATGTCAATGTGCAACATACATCAGCTGCCTCTTGCATGTTGTCTTGAATCTAAGAGAAAAACACTGTAGTTTGGAAAAAAAAAAAAAAAGTATAAACCTTATTAATCTCATCCTATTTGGGAAACCAAGTAGACAATGCTTAACAATATTATTTGCCCATATAACCTTTATTCAGAGGTGCTATTAATTTTCTAGAGTTTTTTGCAGCTATATGTCAAAAATGTTGCCTTCAAAGACAAGCATCCTGCCTTCCTAGGCCACTATGGTGTGTGTAGCATTGAACCTCAAGTGTGAATTATTTTAAAATTAATTAAAGTTAAAATTACTACCCAGTCTTGTGAACTATTCATGTCAAAATGTTTCTGATATGAAGGGGGGAAAAATGTTTCTGATGGCTAAAAATATCCTTACCTTTTTTTGTTAACTCTCTTGGCAAAACCAAAAATTTAATTCATTTGTGGAAAAGGAACAGCATTGTAATTGATGATTTTAAAAAAATTCATCCTAAAATCATTTTAGTAAACAAGTGGTTTGGGGACAATTTAGAATTCCGGTTGAAACTAGTAACACTCTCAAACAGCACTATTATATTTGCACACTCACTTTTCTAAAGCAGAGGCCATTGTCTCTAACCTCCCCCTTTATTTGCCCTTTTATTTATCTCTGCTCTGCATCATCCTAAGAGTTAGTTCAGAACCCCTGATGGTTGTCTATCTGTGGCACAGATGCAGCAGAAGTAGCATACATGTGTTAAATCACAAGACCATTAATTTTCTTTACCTATTTACTTGATCTACTCACCATCCTAGTTTCTCTTTTTAAAAGCCCATCCTGGTACCAAGGAAAGCACTTAAAACTGCATATTTTCAAAGCCATGAAAAAACAGATCTAGTGGTGAAAACACACTGATTTTATTTCCCCATGAAGGAAATAAAAATCTGTGTTCCTTCATGACTTGAAACCTTTGGGGAAACCTAAGAAATTAATGTTTTGATTGCAAGATTGAAAAAAAGAGCTAATCATGAAATGCTTCCAAGTGAAGTAATTTAGGTACCAAATCGAATTTTCTGGTTTTAAGTCCTATTCCCCTCTTTGTGACAGCTTTAGTGACCAAGGTATTAGTTCATTTCATGTGTACCCAATGAGAATTCTTGATGGATACAGAATTCATAGGGTCTAAACAGAATATACAATTCTAAAGTATTCAGTTCATATTTAAGAGAGGGCTCTACTATGACCATAAAGATTGAGCCAATTTTAGTATAAAAAAATAAGACTAATTACCAATGAGGTTGACTACACAGTTTGAGCTAAAGACACTCTAACCAACATTACAAGACAGATTGAAACACCATGAGATATGGAGAGAAAAATCATCCTAGAGCTTAAAAGGACTGACATGGTGAGATCTGTTCATTGCCTTCTGCAGTCAAGGGCCTAAAGCCTTGGAGAACTGCTGGGTCTTACTGCACATTGTAGAGATTATTTTCAAAGCAAAGGTTCCCATGTGGTTGGTAGCGCACTGAAGTTTCATTTTGTGAAGTTCCGGTCACAGGTTCTTTGCTACAAAAAGAATAACATAAGTGAGTGAAAATCAGATAATTTTTAAATAATGAGCAGCATTGTTTTTCTATTTGCAATAACAGAGCCCCATTCATCCAACATATTACATGACTAGGAGATTCCAGAGTTGTAAATATTAAGTTGTGGGAAAGTTTGTTTAATAAGAAAAGTTGGGAAAAAATCTAAGATATATTCAGACTATTCTCCTTCAAGAGATCCATGTACTAGAATACATAAATGGAAAATCTAAGACAGGCCCACCTGGTGTTCAGTGTTTGAGTGTTGACCTATGAACCAGAAGGTTATGGTTTGATTCCAGGTCAGGGCACATGCCAGGCTGCAGGCTCAATCCCCAGTGTGGGCTATGCAAGAGGCAGCCAATCTATGATTATCTTTCATCATTGATGTTTCTTTCTCTCTGCATCTCATTTCCTTTCTGAAATCAATATATATATATATATATATATATATATATATATATATATATATATATAATGTGTGTGTGTGTGTATGTATATATTTTTTTAATTTTTTACAGAGAGGAAGGGAGAGAGATAGTTAGAAACATCAATGAGCCATCAGCTGCCTCCTGTACACCCCCTACTGGGGATGTACCCACAACCAAGGTGCATGCCCTTGACTGGAATTGAACCTGGGACCCTTCAGTCTGCAGGCTGATGCTCTATTCACTGAGCAAAACCTATTTCAAATATATATTAGACATCAAATGGAAGTGCTAAATCAAGATGTACATTCACAAAGGTGGCTGTGAGATAATGCCTATTCCACAGGTGTCACCATTTTAGCTAGTGTTTCTCCAACTGTGGATTATGCTCTTTAAAATAGAGTTATTAAATACAGGAAGTGGTCTACTTCTTTTATTTAAGATAAACAGAGAATACAAAACAGCAGAGTGCATTGATGTAGTGAAATAGTGTTTCATGTAAGTGTGTACTGGATCATGGTGCCAAAAATCTTATTGTGTATTTATGGTCAGAATGTGAAAGCCTAAGTAGATGACTTTCATACACTCACACACCAAATGTATAAAAAGGTTATGTGTAAAGTTTTGATATAGCTGCTGTTTTCAAATGTGTACACAGTGATGGTTTTTATTCCCAGAAATGATATGAAATGTAAAGTCTTCACTCAACTCAGATCCTTAAAAGAACCAGGCATACATGTGAGAACCACTTTAGGTTTCAACAGCTCAAAATGAGTCAGTGTGAAATAGCTGCCCCAAATGTGTCATCATAAATGCTCTCTTTCCCCCGCCCCTTTCCTTTTAATATTTTACAATATTTTCTACAATAAATATTTTCCTTTATAATTAACTGATAAGAGGTGAATATAAAGAAAAAGTTGACAGTGGAAAGATAGAAATCATGCTTTTCTGCCTGTAAGGAGTATTTTTTTTTCCTTCCATTGTTGGAAGAAGATAGTCAAATCTTCTACATTATGGGTTCTGGACTACAAAAGACTTAAGATTGAGTCTTTCACCTGCTGTGTAGTATGAACCCGTTTTCCAATCTCCAAGTGTGAATGTTACAGGTTCAGTGGTATGTAGTGGATTCATATCATTACAGATGTTCTTTCAAATGGCCACAGATGGTGGGTGAAAGTAAAGGAGATTTAAACTTTAACTTAATAGGTTGGATTTATAAAAATTGTACATCAAATTCCTGAGGCCTGATATGCAATGTACAGCAGCAGAGCATGCTGGGTGTGGAACGACAGGGAATGGGGAACTATACTTTTGCTCTGCTTCAGCCTGAAGTTGTCTTCCTCTAGATCTTTGCCAGCGGCCTTCTACTCCATCAGGCTCTCTCACACAGCCCACTACCCTGGTCTACACTCCCCATGCTATAATATTTGCCTGGAAGCACTAAAAGCACCCTGTTGATATGCTTATATGTTGTGTCTGTTGTGTTCATCTTTTTGGAGTAGAATAGGCTTTCAGTAAACACCAAATAAAATCAAGAAGATTTCACCTCATCCAAACATAATTTCATCAAACACTATTGTGATTTAGTTCTCTTGCTCTGAGAGCTTAGGATTGGGGTAGGGGGGGGAGGGTCTATTTCTGTAGTAGTTTCACGGAAATATAGAAAGCAAAAAATATCACTGGAAGGTATGGACAGCGATGGAGGAACTCAATGAACTAGAATTTTTAGGATCCAGGCTGTAAATTGGAGAGTTCAGGAGAAAGGGGAGAGGAAAAGAGATAATTTTTTCTTTATTTTTGTTAGAGTAGGAACATCAAAAACCATTGAGACAAAGCTTTCAAGCTTACCTTATATGTAACACCTTTCTTTTCCCACAATATTCTAAATTGGGAAGGAGTTGAAAAAAAAAAAAAAAAAAACATGTCAGCCAAAGAATTCATGAGACCTTTCCAAAACATGTACATTATTTCTTGCTATAACTTTGTTTTTCAAATCCCTATCTGAAAATATGTTGGGATTTTCTTATTGATTTTAAAGATAAAGAGAGAAAGAGAGAGAAGTTGGTTTGAGAGAGAAAAATCAATAGGTTGCTTCCCAAACATGCCCTGACCAGAAATAGAACCTGAAACCTATGTATGCGCCCTGACCAGGAATTGAAACCAAAACCCGCCGAAACCGGTTTGGTTCAGTGGATAGAGCGTTGGCCTGCAGACTGAAAGGTCCTGGTTTCCATTCTGGTCAGGGGCATGTACCTTGGTTGCAGGCATGTCCCCAGTAGGGGGCGTGCAAGAAGCAGCTGATCAAGTTTCTCTCTCATCGATGTTCCTAACTCTCTATCCCTCTCTCTTCCTCTCTGTGAAAAATCAATAAAATATATTTTTTAAAAATAATAATAATTAAAATATGTTTTTTAAAAAGTGGATGGTTGTGGTTTTTTCATGGAGGCTGGCATGGCTATAGTTTTTTAAAACCCATTGGTCTAGCCTTGGCCTGAAATCTGTTTCCCTTTCAATGTCTCATTTGCCTCTTCATTAAGTGGGTGTTTTTTTCACTGGAGCAAAAATGGAGTCTTGAGGGGAAAGGAGAAGGAAGAGTGAACAAATCTGCTTAGTACAGTGGTTTGTTGCCTTCCAAATCCCAGCTCCACCCAACTAACTCTTATTTCTTAGTGTTTTATTTCTCCAATGGAGAACTTAAATTTCACATTTTCTTTTCAGGCCAATATTTCTAAGAAACAAAAGGAACAAAGTTATGAAACAGGGAAGTTATGTGAAGTCAAAAGTACATGGTGTGTGAAGCTCCTTGGACCCAGGTAGTTTGGCTATCTCACTTTGTTCCCTCACTTTGTTCCCTCAGGCACAATGGTCAAACGACTTACTTTTGATAAGTATGGCAGCCAAAATGATGAGCAATATCATGGCAGCAATGCCGAGTCCAATGTACAACTTACTGGTGTTCCTCTGTGTCTTTTGCTAAGGAAATACCAGCAGATTGAAAAAGCATCTTGTTAGAATTATGGGCAGAAAACATTTCTTAAAATAACATACTCAGACACATCTATCTTTATTGGCTCTTGTCTTCTTCTAGCATGAAAGGCATAACCAAATGATCTCCTGAGGTTATAACCATGATGAAATTCTCAGATAATTTGAAATTCAATACGCATTTGGAGATGTGGAAATATTTTATATATGCTTCTGTGAGATTTTTGTGGGTGTATGTGTTTGTCAAAGCTCAAAGTGTACAGTTCAAAGGGTGCTCTTTATTATATGTAAATTATCCATACTGGGGGTTTTTTCCAAAAAATTCAATAAGATACATCCCCTTATATTAAAGAAAACAAGTTTTGTTCATATATAAGTTCACTTCTTGATGCTATCTGAATGTGCTCAATTATTGAATTTGGTCTTTAATACAGTCCTTATATTTTTAAACATAATCCAAAATTCTATCTATCTCATTATAAATGGGCCTAAGAGCAGCTGCTCCCAGATATAATCCTGATTAACAATGAACTTAAAATGTGCAATTAGGTGGAAATGCAAATTTTCTTAAATCTCCTGGTGTAGTTTGTAAGTATCCCCCTCCTAGAATAAGCTTAAAACATGCCAGGCATCATGCCAGGCCCCTTTTCATAGCTTATCTCTAATACTAAAAAGATCCAACAGGGTAGATATTTTAACAGAAAGCAAGTGGAAGATCAGTGAGAAGGATTTAGCTCCTTGCTGCACAAAAGTTTAATCTCTGGAGTCCACATCCTAACTCTTTTACTTAGTCACTTACTCAATGAGACCCTCAAAAATCATTTAGCTTCTCTGAATCTGTGTTTCTGTGCCTATTTGATTTAATAGGGTCTTTGGCCCTGGCTGGTGGCCCAGTTCGTTAGAGCATTGTCCTGATACACCAAGGTTGTGGGTTCAGTTCCCAGTCAGGGTAAATACCAGAAGCAAACAATAAATGTATAAATGAGTAGAACAACAGATTGATATTTCTCTGTGTGTGTGTCTTTCTAGAGTATCAATTGAAATTTCTTTTCTGAAAGGTATTACTTTAAAAAAAAAAAAAAAAGAAAGAAAGAAAGAAAGAAAAACACCCATTCTTACAGAAATAATATTTAGCACTTCACTGGGACACTACTGTTCAAAAGGCTTTGGTAAAATAATTCCCAAACACAACACAGAAACCCAGGATGTTTTTAAGCATCTATAGATGAAGAACTGTGCATAGAATGTGAGGGCTCTGAAAGAAGACAGAAAGAGTGAGTTGAGGCCTTTGGCAATACTGAGAGCTGCCAGCAAAACTCCAAGGAAGAAGCCCAAGTGTTGTTGTTTTTTTCTTGGATGCTCTATTTGAATTATTGTTCAGTCAGTTAACACAAGAGACATTCTTAATAGCAATATGCAGGTGAGCTTAATAAAGTACTTAATCCCTTACTATTGAGGATTGAGGTTGTTTTATAACATTTTCATGATTGTAAATAGCAGCAATGAACATACTTTCCTATATAACTTCATGTATTTGTTTAATTTTTCTCCTTAATATATGTCCTAAAAGTTTACTTATTGCATCAAAATACATGTTGCATGTTTTCAAGATACCAGGCAGACATGCTGACATCCTCAGAAATAATGCACAAAAAGTCCATGATTCTGCTACAACCTGCTATGAACCTGCATCCAAATTGCTTCTACTTGATGCTAAACAAAACTGTCCTACAGGTAGCTGAGATCAAAAACAAGGTCACCATTAAGAATGTGTGTGTTTCTAATTCAGTACAAGTGTGGCCAAATAGCAATCATTTCCATAGTGGCAGTTCTGATATTTTTGAGGTTTATACAAATTCGGCCCACATCTATCAGATCAGAGTCTAAGGCATATAAATTGTTAACATTTTTCATGTTATGCCTATATGGTATTCAAACTGTCACTAAGATATACAACATAAAGTCATTTGACTCTAAATAATCCCACTTTGCATGAGCTTGAATTTCTTTTATTACAGCTAGGTTGTCATTTCTCACCATTTGGAAGGGGATTGCTCTCATACCTCAAACACTTTTGATAGTTGCTTCTAAGAGTTATTTAAATCTATAAAAGAAGGTGGTTTCTATTAGAGAGTCAAAAGAATAAGCTCCTATTTGATAATCTAGCCTAATTTATTTGCAAATGAAAGACTTTTATTAGCATCATGAAACTAGAGATGACTTATATTTATCTCAAAATCACTGTGGGAAAGAAGAATACTTTTCAAAATTACAAAGTTGTTGGAGACATTAACATCTTAATAAGTCATCCTGCCCACCTGGCATGGCTCAGTAGTTGAGCATCAAACCTATGAATCAGAAGGTCAGGGTTCCATTCCCAGAAAAGGCACATGCCCAGATTGTGGGCTTGATTTCCAAGGGGGACAAGCAAGAAGCAAACATACAATGATTCTCTCATCATTGATGTTTCTAACTTTCTCTCCCTTTCCCTTTGTCTCTAAAATCAATAAAAATATATTTCAAAAACTTAATAAATATAAGTCATCCTATGGGGAGGTTCAGGTAGAAGAAATTTCAGCATTGGCCTCAAAACTTCTGTATGGAAGGCATTCAGGTTGGGGAAGGGATATTGGGGGGCATATGTCAAAGCAAGCACACTTTCCCTTACATATTTTTGTTTGGAACAGCCTCCATGCCACCACAGTGACTCAAAGCATGTTATTCCCCTAATGCTAACTGAAGTCTTCCTGGGAATGTTATGTCAACTCACTCTCCTTGAATTAGTTCATTCTTTTTTGTTCAAATTTTTGGCCAGGAGAGTGTTGTGTGAATGTGTGTGAGTAAAACATCACTTAGCAGGTATCACTAACAAGCTGGTCTGCCTGTAGCTATGTGAACTTTACCAATTAATCAAAGGACCCCTATTTAAGAAACAAATTCTTTTCTTCTTTGTTGCTTAACCTGAAAGAATCAATCTGTGGTGTACCTTTACAAAAGTAATCTCTAAATATAACTCTCTTCCAGAGAGACATACAAGTGAATATGGTTAATAAAATAGGAAGGAACTTGCTTACAGTTTTATTGTATTGCCCACCACAATTTGAAGGCTGGGTCACAGTGCTATTTCTATCTGTTCAACAAAAAGAAAATTTGTTAGAATTATAAAAAAATATTGAATTTTTGCTACTAACATGAAATATATTCACATTGCTTCCTGGCTATAAATAAAACAATGAATAAAAAATATGGCCAAAAAAATATATCAATGGGCAAATGTACAGGCATGGCGAAAATTAAACCAAATTACTAGCATTTATTAATCTGTCCTGTATGGTGTGATTCTTAACAGTTTTTTCCTAGACACTTTTTCCTTCTTTATGGGCCAAAAATTGCATTATATATAAAGTTTTACCTATAATTTTAGCAGCACAGAGACCATTCTTGGAATCAGGTTAAAAGTGCCACCTGTATGTATTCTGGACATCTCAGTAATAGTCACAGTTGTTATTGTATCTATCACTTATCCCCATATACCTATGTCCCATCTCATTTAATCCCCTTCATCTCATTTAATCCTCTTCATCTCTTTTAATGCTCACAAGGATTCCACATGATCAGAGATGTTCCATCCATTTTAGAAATGATGAAAACATTCCAAGAGGGTAAGACATTTGTTTCAGTCACATAGCAGATTAGAGGGGCTAGTGTGAGCACTCATGTCACAATATGTGCTGTTAACTATATGTCATGTCAATGACTTTCAAATTTTGAATGCAGGTATTCAGGGAATAAAATTAAGTTACCTGTTGGGCATGAAGAGTTCAACAATGAGCTAGTCGTACTTGTTTCCTGTGGTGTGAGAGGCTGGGTTCCTGTTGTCTGCGCTGCAGAAGATGAAGTGGTTTCTGAAATAAAGAGGACGAAAGAGCTCTGTTCTATTTGTAGAGAAAAATCTCCAGCCCCAACAAAAATAGGCAACAAACCTAAAATTGGAAATTACCTTCAACTCTTTCTTAGAAATTTATTCAAAGATAACATTGAAGCATTGCACTTCTATCTAGGTATTTTATTATCAGGAGTAAATCTGATATAGATAATGTTTTAGATAGATATTTATCTATAGATAGAATTATTTCACACTTTTCATACTCTTAAGATCTCTCTAAATACTTAATGCCTATGACAGTGTGTCTTATGTAAGATACCAAATTAAGCTTTTATCCACACATAGGACATTTTCATGTTCATAAAACAAGGCCTGCGGATTTACACTAGTCTCTTGTCCCATCTTCACAATAAACCCAATCTAGATTTTCTGACATTATTCAAGTTTCTATCCACACATCTTTCCATGGAGACCTACATATGTGCCAGCACGAAATACATCATCACAATATTTAACTCTTGAAGTCTCTTCAAGGTGACCACATTGCCCTGTCTCTCAACTTGGTAATGATTCACAGCCCTCTAAGTCAGACTCCTGGTAAACTGTGACCAGCTCCTTCTGCAATTGCATTCTGCTCACTGCTTCTGTATGACTGATGTCCTGTGTTATCTGACTCATCTTCCATTTCTCACCAAAAACCTTCACTAAGAATTCTCAAGCACACCGCTATGCATCACTTGCCTCCTTATAAAATCTTCATATTCCTTCCCTGAGAGCACCACAGAACTTAGAGAAAATTAGTGGTACGGACAGGGCAAGAATTCTCAAACCTGGGCTTTCCTTTTGCCTTTCATCAGTCTTCCTGTTTCCTCTTTCCCACCACCACCTTCACATTTCTACATCACCTTTCCTTATCTTCTGAACCCATTTCAAGTTTTCCTCCAATACTGAACCCTATAACAGGAAGTGACTCTCTTTAGGAACAAAGAACAGGACAGTACAAGAAAGTCAGATGATCAGTCTATCCAACATAGGTCTCTGCAAAAAGCCTCTTTGACCTTAATTTCTTCCCTGAGTTTGATTTCTTGTGGGCATCTTTCTTTGCTCCCTTTCTCCTATAATCTTACATCCAACCATATCATGCATATTTTAGGAAATGAACATGTGCTGAGGACAGACAGGAAGTGGATGTAAAAGTAAATGTCTCTGAATTGAATTAGCTCCAGTGCTCACCTCCTTTCTGTACTGTAAAGCTCAACTCTAGACTCAAACTCCTTATGAAATTATCAGTATAAAAAGAAGGCTCAATTCAATTAATAACCAATTAATATTCCTCAGGAAGTCATACAGATCTTTTCTTCTGAATCTCTGCTTTAAATGAAGTAAAAAAAGAAAAACTTATGTATGTTCACTAAACCAAGTTCACTAATCCTCACACTTTTACAGACATACACTATGTCAAACTAAGTATAAAGAAGCTAAATCAATATTAAGAAAGTCAACAGATTTTCTAATATGCTCAGCTGCCTGGAACAAAGCTATTTTTCTTATATACTTTTATGGCTCTAAAATCTGAGTTCTAACCTGAAGCCTTCTCCTCTAAACTCAACTCAATGCCCAAATGCTTCAGATCCCTACTGGTTACCAAATAAATATACACAAGGCTCAATGGGAGTTAAGGAAAATCAATGTTCCATCATATTTCACTGGCTAAAAGGTTGAGACATTTCTGTTACTCTTCAGAATCCAGATCACCTCAAGGAGTCAGAGTTTGAAAGGCTTTGAGAATCTTCACTAAGTGTTATCTTTTTAATCTTCAAAATAGAAGGTTTGAACCTGAACTTGTCCTCAGGAGGCCAAGCTATTTCCCCACACATACATCAAATTATTCTCTATTTGTATTGCATCTAAACTCTTACTTATCAGAAACTTGGAAGTGTGAAGCATGTAGCCTAAATTTTAAAATCCTAAAATCAGATATTAATTTTGTCATTAGTATAAACTGGAAAATGGGTTAGGGACATGGGTGAAAAAAGTCAAGGGATTTAGAAGTACAAATTGGCAGTTTCATAAATAGTCAGGGGGATGTAAAATACAGCACAAGTAATATAGTCAGTTATAGTATAATAACTACATATGGTATCTCATGGATTCTCAATTTATCAGGGCAATCACTTTGTTACTTATATAAATATCTAATCATGGGGTTGTACATCTAAAACTAATATATTGGTTTTTTGGTTTTCTTTAAATATATTTTATTGATTTTTCTTACAGAAAGGAAGGGAGAGGGATAGAGAGCTAGAAACGTTGATGAGAGAGAAACATCAACCAGCTGCCTCCTGCACACCCCCTACTGGGGATGTGCCCACAACCAATGTACATGCCCTTGACCAGAATCGAACCTGGGACCTTTCAGTCCACAGACCGATGCTCTACCGCTGAGCCAAACCGGTTTCGGCTAAAACTAATATATTGTATATCAACTGTAATTTAAAATAATAAGTAAATTAACATTTATATTGAGAGAGAGAAAAACTTAGAATGAATACTGTCACACAGGATATAGGAAATGATCATCTTGATGAATCCTACCTTCCAGATTAGGCTCTGACTTCACAGTAGATAAAGAATCTCCACTTCAAGTTCCTTGTGGATCTGTGCTCAACTGAGCCAAGTCCACACCAATCTCATTAGATGTCAAAGAGAAATGGTCTGGGGCTTGGGAACTAATAATTATTCCACTGGAGAATCTGATTTAAAAGAAACTATGGGTTCTCTTCACTCTGGAAATACTTACAGTTACAAAGAAAACAAGAAATCTGGAATGAGGACTGTCAGCTACTATGAAGCTCACATTTCTAACCCAGGGAAGAACATTAATCCTAGATTATACTTCCACCTAATGATAATAGCCTGGATGGTCTACCTCCTCTCACTGGATGGCCTCTGGGCTCAAAAACTCATCACTTTCTTTCTTGGGCTATTCTGCAGATGAACTGGTGCTATAGCAGAGGAGGAGACCCTAGGTGATCCTGGAACTCTGGTGAGCTCAGGTCCAGCTAGAAATCCACATGAAAGCAAGTATAAATCCAGAAGGAAAAAACAAGAGCTTTATGCTGGGCATGAACTCAACAAAACCAATGAGAGACTATGTCCCCCTCCAGAATTGGGCACTCATCTCCCCTGAGCTCAGAGTTCCTGTCCTTGCTCAAATACACTCTGACAGAGGAAGGCTTGAAGTCACACTGAAAAAAAGAAATCAGATGTATGAGAAAGTGTATTTCCCACGGATTTCACAGGTGAAAAAGGAAACCTGTAATTTACACTGAAGCACTCTGAAGACCATGCATATTAGATGTATGTATCTTCATAAACATGCGTGAGGTGGGGAAAATGTCTAGAACATGAGGACAGACTCTCATTAGCCTTTCCCTATTTCCTGGCATAACCTAGACTTTCCTCATAAACCTGTGCTCCATTAGGCCAAATCCTCACCATCTGCATTAGAAGTCCAAGATGTCTGAGATTTGGGGTAATAAAAAAATCCCTTTGAGAATCTCGTTTGTTTTAAAAAAAAAAAAAAAAAAAAAAAGGGTTCCCTCACTCTAAAACTACTTATAGGTTTTTTGGGTTTTTTTAAGTGCATATATATGGAACAGACATTCAAAGATATTGTGAGGCCCATATTTAGAAACTAAGAAAGAATTCATACCTTAGATTGTAACTCTGCCTTAGCACATGCCTTGGTAATCTACATCCTCTCATTAGAAGGCCAAGGGCTGGCCCTAGCCAGTTTGACTCAGTGAATAAAGTGTCAGCCTGCAGAGTGAAGGATCCCAGGTTCAATTCTGGTCAAGGGCACATGGCCAGGTTTTGTGCTCTATCCCCAATAGGAGGTGTGTAGGAGGCAGCCAACCAATAATTCTCTCTCAACATTGATTTTCTCTTTCTCTCCCTCTCCCTTCCACTCTGAAATCAATAAAAATATAAAATAAAATAAAAGAAAGACAAGGGCTGAAAAACATATCAGTTTACCTGTCTTGAATTTCTGCCACCCGCCTGCTGGCTTTGTGGAGATAAAACTAGTGGTGGGCTTTGTAGAAGCAGACATGGAGATCATAGGTGATGTTGGGCCTATGGTGATCTTAGGTGGAGCTAGAAATCATCATGAAAGCAAGCATTAATCAAGCAGCAGAGAATGAGAGCTTTGTGCTGGGCCTGCACACACACAAACATCCAATGAGAGACTGTCCCCTACAGAATTGGGCATTAATGTCCCCTGAGCTCAGAGTCTCTATCCTTAGTCTACTATAATAGAATCTGACAGGGCTGGGATTGAGGACCAGCTTTCAAAACAGAAACAGGTGCATTGAAAAGTATAGATTCTAGGAGATTCAGATGTGAAAAAGGTTACTCGGATCATGCACTGAAGCACTTGGAAGACACCAGCCATGTGTATCAGATTTACATATCCTTCTACACATTGGTGAGATGGTGAAAGTGTCCAGGGCCAGGATATGACTTTGTCCTCTCTCTGGGGAATGACTAAGATTTAAGTAGTAGTTTCAGGCTCAGAATGTTTACTCAATAAATAGCATTCATTTCAGTAGTCCTGAGGATACCCTCCCAGTAGTCCTGCACCCTAAATTAACTCACACCACAAGTATATGCTAGATCACAGGGACCATTTATACATTATACACTTGGTTGAAAGGTGAATTAAACCACCAATAATTCCTTTCCAACTAAGAGATGAAAAAGGTAATAACTTGGGCTCTTTCCATGACAGAGCAGATCTAGGATTTCAAAGCAGTTACAGAAGGCCTCAGAGCTACCCAGAGAGAGAGAGGTAGCAGTGGAATTAAGCACAAATACATTGCCTGGCACAAAAGGCCATCAATTAATGCTGATCAACAATGTGTACTTTTTTTCTCACCAGGCACCTCTGCATCCCACGAGAAGTTTCCTTGAATCTCTATTAACTAGAAAAACAAGAACCTTTGCAGAGGAGGCCAATGGTTTAAAAGCTCTTCTTTGGAGAGATACAGTTTAATTTGGAATCAAGCCAATTTTTGCCATGAAGTGAAAAAAACATAAATCAACAAATATTTGTCACGTCTATTACATGCAAGGCATTAATCTAAAGCACAGGTCAGCAAACCTTCTGTAAATGGCCAGAGGCAAGTGTTAGGGCTTGGAGGCTATAGTCTCAGTAGCTGTTGTTCAACTCTATCGATGTGAAAGCAGCCAAAGACCTGATGATACAATGATTAGAAATCATTCTTTCAATAAAATATTATAGGTAAAACTAATGGTGGACTTGTTATCCTTGTATGAAGGGTCCAACTTCAAAGAGAACTAAAGGAAAAACACTCAGATTTCTCTTCTTCTCTGAAATAACCTAGATTTTACTCATAAACCAACACCAAGTGGACCAAATACATATCATTAGTTGTCCAATATCACCAGTCTTGGGCTTTTTGGCTAATGAAGAAATCCTTTGAGAATCCAATTTTTAAAAAAATGGGTCCCCTCACTCTGAAGATACCAATTAGATGCATGTAATATGGGAAAAGGTTTCACAGATCACATGAGGCCCTATGGAGCCCAGGGAAAAACCTTTAGCATAGATGGCAACTCCACTTTAACACATACTCTGGTGGTCTTCATCTACTCAGTAGAAAGCTTGTAGCCTCAAAAACACATAAGTTTACCTGTCTGAAGGTTCCGTGTGGGTGCTGGAGTTGTAGGAGCATAGGTAGAGACCTTAGGTGGTGTTGGAACACTGGTGACCTTAGGCGGAGTTGGAACACTGGTGACCTTAGGTGGAGTTGGAACACTGGTGACCTTAGGTGGTGTTGGAACACTGGTGACCTTAGGTGGTGTTTGAACACTGGTGACCTTAGGCAGAGTTGCAACACTGGTGACCTTAGATGGAGCTAGAAATCAACATAAAAGCAAGGATTAATCAAGCAGCAGGGAACAAGAGCTTTGTGCTGTGCCTTTATTTCAATTAAACCAATGAGAGACTGTCCCCAGGCATAACTGGGCACCAACCTCTCCTGAACTCAGAGTCCTTATCCTTTCTCAATTAAAATCTGAAAACCGTCTGGCCAAAGGAAAACATGCACTGAAATGTATACACTCCAGGACAATCAGAGGTGAAAAGGGTTAACCAGAATTAAAACTGAATTATTGGGAAAAGATCATCCATGCATATCAGATAAACATCTGTGAGATACAGAAAATACCTAGAGTCTGGACCTGTCTTAGTCTTCTCAGTGGTGAATGACTAAGACTTACTTAAACAGCAGCTCCGAGATCCAAAATGTTTACCAAATAAGTAGCATTAAATTCAGGTATTTGAGGGTACCCTCTCAAGTGGCCTGCAGCACAGATGAGGATTAACTCAACCCCACCAGCAGATGCAAGATCACGGGAAGGATTTATACAACATACATTTGGGTGGAGGTGAACTAGATCACAGGTAATATGCAGAGTTAGAGGTGGTGTAAGATTTCAACTCACTTATAGAAGGTCTCCAACTACTCAGAGAAAGAGCTGAAGCTTGAATTAAGCCTAAACAACAATGCATGGCTCAAAAGCAGAAGCAAATCAATGAAAACCTGATTCAAGAATGTGGCCCTGCCCTAGCCTGTTTTGCTCAGTGGTTAGAGTGTTAGCTTGCAGACAGAAGGGCCCTGTGTTCGATTCTGATCAAGGACACATGCCTGGGTTGCAGGCTGGAACCCTAGAGGGGTGTGTGCAGGAGGCAGCCAATCAATGATTCTTTTTCATCATTGATGTTTCTACCTCTCTATCCATCTCCCTTCCTCTCTAAAATCAATATAAAAATATATTTTAAATTTTTATTTAAAATATGTGGCACTTTTTCTCACCAAACATCTTATTTTTCTTTTACAATAAGCTTTATTTTTAAAATATATATATTTTTTTATTGATTTTAGAAACTAAGGGAGAACAAAAGAGGCATAGAAACATCAATGATGAGAGAGAACCATTGATCAGCTGCCTCCAGCAAGCCCCACATTGGAGATTGAGCCAGTAACCTGGGCATGTGACCTGACCAGAATCAAACCATTACCTCCTAATTCATAGGGCAATGCTCTACCACTGAGCAATACTGGCTCAGATATAAGATTTCTTAAATCTAACTCTACTGACTATAAAAGAGGAGTCCATTTATTTGAAAGCTCTTATTTGGAGAGATCTAGTTTAATTTGGAATTGAGCTAATTTTTGCTTTGAAGAAGAAAAACTGTTTTTCAACAAATATTTGTGACTATTGCATGGAAGGGATTAATCTAAAGAAGAGGTCACCAAACTTTTGTGAGAGCCAGAGAATAAATGCTTAGGCTCTGGTGGCTGGATGATCTCAGAGGCAGTAGCTCAACTATATCAGTGTAAAGGTTTCTATAGAAAAGATAATTGGATATGATTGTTCCAATAAAACTTTATTTATGAAGCAGTTGGTGGGCCTAATTTGAATCTAATATGGCTTTGGACTAGTGTTTGCTGACTGTGCTCTAAGGTATAGTCAGAGGCTTTTAGGAAGAAAAAAATCCAATTTTCTTCCTTCAATTTAAATATAAAATGGAGGAGAAAGCAAGCATGCAAAAACAGTTTTTAAAGAAACATAAGGAATAATAAATAGGAGAAAAACTAACCAGTTTTTCTAATAAACTTGTCTACTTCAATGCTTACACAATGTATATGCAACAAGATTGAAAGGACAACTATTAATGTTGGTGCTGTACCTACTTGATAGCACCTTATAAAATAAGACTGAATCATACCTACAGTGCATAGGGTTGTCATAAGAATTCAGTGATATAATATTTGCAAAGTATTTAGCATGTTTCCTGACATAGGAGACAGAGGGAATATTAACTTTACTACAATCTTATTCTCAGGTAGAGGGTCTAACTTCAGAGTGAAGTAAAGGGTCCTTATTCAGAACTCCTTGGGAGAACTGAATGCCATTAACTTGACCATTTCTTTCTGTCATTTCCTGTATTTCCCTCTTAAACCTGTGCTCATTGGGCAAAATCCACTCCATCCTCATTAGATATCAAAAATCAGTGGTCTGGTGGGTTTGGGCTAATAATGAATGCCTTTGAGAATCTGACCAGAAAAAAATCCAATAGGCCTAAAAGCATGGAACAGACTAGAAAATCTCAGAAGGAAGTTGGGAGTGAGTGGGTGGATGTGAAGAGATCAACTAAAGAACTTGTATGTGTATAAGCGTAATCCAAAGACACAGACAATAGTGTGGTAAAAGCATAGGGTGGGGAGGGCACCGGGTGCAGTCCGGAAGGGGGCTATAAGGGAACAAAAGGGAATATCTATGACACTTTCAATATTAAAGACTTTAGAAAAAAAACAAAAAGTCAGTCTCCGTATTCTCTAAAATAGTTACAAAAGCTGGCTATGAGATTAGGGTTCACAGACCCTATGAAACACTTGTTTGGAGCCACCTAAGGACCTTTACCTTGAATTGGACATTTTAACACATGCCCTGGGTGGTTTCCATCCTCTTACTAGAAGGCCTCTGGCCTCAGAAACAAATGACTTTACCTGTCTTGAGGTTCTTCATGGTCGCTGGAGTTGTAGGAGCAGAAGTGAGGACCTCAGGTGGTGTTGGAACAGTGGTTGGAGCTAGAAATCAACATGAAAGTAAGGATTAATCAAGCAGCAGGGATCAAGAGCTTTGTGCTAGGCCTCCAACTGCCCCATGTTAGCCTGCTCACCCCCAACTTCCCTCCGCCTCCTGGCCTGTTTGCCCCTAACCATCTCTGCCTTGGCCCCGCCACCATGGCTTTGTCCAGGACATCCAGAAGGTCTTCTGGAAGGTTTCCCAGTCTAATTAGCATATTACCCTTTTATTAGTATATCGGATTGTCTACTTTATACATTTGAAAATTTCCATGTTAGTTTTAAAATGTTAAGTTCATTTTATAAATTTTCAATGACATCATCTCAGAGAAAAAGTGCAGTTGTGTACATTGAATTAGTTTGAGAAAAATATTCATCTCATCTCCCTATGGAGCCATGAATACCTCTTCATGAGCTAAGCAGTATTTTTGAAGCACTGCTTTAAGAGATAGTCTGCAGACTGGGAAGGCCCTCTAGTCTCCATTCTTTTTTTCTTTTCTTTTTTCTAGTCTCCATTCTTGACTAGATTCTTTTAACACTTCATTCTACAAAGTAAGTAATTCTATTTCACCAAAGTTATTTAAAAAAACAGGATTGTCAGAACCTCCTCTCTCTTTCCTAAAGAAAGAGGATATCATTTCCAAACAGTAAACATCTCAGTTCATGCACATGAAGTGATCACAGGAAGACAAACTTACCTGGCTTTATCTCCAAAAATATATTCTTTTTATAATTATTAAACCATCCGCTGAACTCAATACGGCAACAATAGGTGCCAGTGTCAGACAGGGCTGCATTCTCTATGGTTAAAGAAAAATTCCCTCTGGAAATGATTCCATTCATCCGATAACGCTTGTCCTTCGTAAAGGTGACACGGTAGTCATCAGACCATGCAATTGTATTTAAGCATTTGGATAAAGGGCATGATCCTCGGCCCCAGCACATAGGTGCAATTACCCGAGCTATAGAGTAGCTACAGGGTAGCGTGACAGTCTGTCCCACCACTCCAGTCACGCGTGTCTGAGAAACTACAACATCTGCAAATAAAAACAAAACTGAGTATAAGGTCTCAATATTTGAATTTTACATTTACACCCACTTACTTCTCTTGATATGGTTTATTTTGTTTGTAATCATGTGACTTTAATCTTAAATATAAAAATGTTTTTGTTTTACTGTTTATATCTTTATCAGCATTTTGGTTTATTAATAGTTATAAATAACACTCAATTTAATTTTTTTGTTTGTTAATTCTCCCTCAAGGATATATTTCCATTGATTTTTAGAGAGTGGAAGGAATGGTGAGAGACAAAGGGAGAGAAACATCATTGTGAGAAACATATTGACTGGTTGCCTCCTGCAGGAGACCTGATCAGGACTGGGATCGAGCCTGCACCCAAAGTACATGCCCTTGACCAAATTTGAATCTGGGACCTTTCAGTCCATGTGCTGATGCTCTATCCATTGACCCAAACTGGCTAGAGCTAACCTTATTTCTATTTATTATTTATTTCTATTTATTATTTCTATTTCTATTTATTATTTCTATTTATTATTTCTTATTTATTTAGGACTAGAGGCCCTGTGCATGAAATTCATGCATGGGGGTAGTTCACTCAGCCCACCCTGCATCCCCTCCAATCCAGGACCCCTCAAGGAATGTCCAACTGCCAGTGTAGGCCCAGTGCAGGATCGGGCCTAAACCAGCAGTGGGATATCCCTCTCACAATCTGGGACCACTGGCTCCTAACTGCTCACCTGCCTGCCTGCCTGATTGCCCCTTACTCCTCTGTCTGCCTGGATAATCATCCCTAACCACCTCTGCTTGCTGGCCTGATCACCCCTAACTGCTCTCCCAAGCCAACCTGATTGCCCCTAATTACCTCTGGTTCAGCCCCTACCTCTTTGGCTCTGTCTGGAAGGAGGACTGGATGACTGGAAGATGTCTAATTAGCATATTACCATTTTATTACCCAGATTGTTTTCCAATAGGATAAATTTCTAAAATAGAAATTACCAGGGCAAGTAGAAGAAATATTTTTATCAAATTTATTTCCAAAATGTTGAACCAAATGACATTCTATCAGTACTGGCGATCAAGCCCAAAACCCAGACTGATGAAAAAATGTATTTTATTTAATTTATTTTTTTTAAAATATATTTTATTGATTTTGTACAGAGAGGAAGGGAGAGAGATACAGAGTTAGAAACATCGATGAGAGAGAGTCATCGATCAGCTGCCTCTTGCACACCCCCTACTGGGGATATGCCCGCAACCAAGGTACATGCCCTTGACCGGGGAATCGAACCCGGGACCCTTCAGTCCCCAAGCTGACGCTCTATCCATTGAGCCAAACCGGTCCCAGCTGAAAAAATGTATTTTAAATAAATAAATAAATAAAGTATTGTTGGGCCCTGGACAGGTAACTCAGGTGGTTAAAATATCATCCCAATATGCCAAGGTTGTGGGTTTGATCGCCAGTTAGGTCCCATCTGGGAATCAACCAATGAATGCATAAGTAAGTAGAACAACAAATCAATGTCTTTAATAAAAATTTTAAATATAAAAATAATAAAGTATCATTGCCTTATAGGCAGAAGTCTAATAAACTCTTCAGAAATCAATTTTTAGAAAATAGGTTTCTAATGGTTCCAAAAGAGCCAAGACTGATCATGCTCTTAAGGACGGTCAAAAAAAATCCAAGTAGAAATCATTGTAATGAGTAGATGAAAGTTGGCACTTGAGCAAGACCCATTTTCCATAGTGAACCCAGAGAATAGGACAATATTCAATCAAGTACTAAATTAAGCCACTTAAAACCCAAAACCGGTTTGGCTCAGTGGATAGAGAGTTGGCCTGTGAACAGAAGGTTCTCAAGTTCGATTCTGGTCAAGGGCATGTACCTTGGTTGCAGGCACATCCCCAGTAGGGGGTGTGCAAGAGACAGCTGATCAATATTTCTCTCTCATTGACGTTTCTAACTCTCTATCCCTCTCTCTTCCCCTCTGTTAAAAAAAAAAAAAAAAAAAAAAAAAAAAAAAAAAAAAAAAAAAAAAACTCTCTCCAGTGCTAGTGGCATTAAAACCCCATATTGTCACCAGCCAGCTGTGGCTCAGTGGTTGAGCATCAATCTATGAACCAGGAAGTCAAAGATCAATTCCATCTCAGGGTACAGACCAGAATGCAGGCTCAATCCCCAGGAGGGGGCATACAGGAGGCATCCTAACAATAATTCTGTCTCATCATTGATGTCTTTATCTCTCTCCCACTCCCTTTCTCTCTCTGAAATCAATAAAAATATAATATTTTTTAAACATATATTGTCAAATGCAGTCAATTTGGTCTTTGAATGAAATCTGAGATGTATCAATTAATCTTATTTTATTTTTAAATTATAATTGATACACAATATTAGTTGACAGTGTACAAAATAGCGATTAGACATTTATATAACTTGTGAAGTGATCACCCCAATAAGTCTAGTACTCATTTGACACCATTCATAGTTATTAAAATACTAGGGGCGCGGTGCATGAGATTCATGCACTGGTAGGGGGGAGTGCATAGCCTGTGGAGATCGGCCCACTGTGGGAGCACCACTCATCCTGGTCAGCTGAACAGCACTCCTACTATGGGAGCACATTGACCACCAGGGGGAAGCCCCTGTGTTGAGCCTCTGCCCCCTGGGGGTCACTGCACATCATAGCAACTGGTTGGTCTGGTCATTCTGGTTATTCCACTGTTCAGTTGCTGGACTTTTATTATATAGGACTAGAGGCCCAGTGCATGAAATTCATGCACGGAAAGGTGTGTCCCTCAGCCCAGCCTGTACCCTCTCCAATCTGGGACCCCTCGAGGGATGTCCGACTGCCCATTTGGGTAGGATGGGGCCTAAGTGGGCAGACAGACATCCTTCTCACAATCCAGAACTGCTGGCTCCCAACTGGGTGCCTACCTAACTTCCTGATTGCCCCTAACCACTTCTGCCTGCCAGCCTAATCACCCCCTAATCATTCCCCTACCAACCTGATTTCCCCTAATTGCCCTCCCCTGCTGGCCTTATCACTTACAACTACCCTCCCCTACTGGCTTGTTCCCTCCCAACTGCCCTCCCCTGCTGGCCATATTGTGGTGGCCATCTTGTGTCCACATTGGCGCAACCATCTTGTGTGTTGGAGTGATGGTCAATTTGCATATTGCTCTTTTATTAGATAGGATTATTGACTGTATTTCCTATGCTGTATTTTACATAACCCAACTAATCAGCTAGGTTTGGACTGTGAGTTTTGAAATGCTCTGAGATAAAATGCTGATTGTTACGTAAAATAAGAGTCTATTTTTTCACTGGATTTTTATAATTGATTTTGCCTCACAACAGTTGAAGTTTACAAATCTAGCATGCTAACTTAAAAATTTAGTATGGAGCAAAATTTAAATGAACTTTTCCCCATAATCACATCACATCTGGTGATTATTATTTTTAAATTTAGGTTGTGTCTATTCCTAACATTGTCTCTATCTCATAGAATGTTTTGTTTAAAATATAAGGTGTCCCCAAAAATGTATACACATAATTTGAATAATTATAAAGACTTTATTTCAATACATTTTATTTTCAAAATGAGTTATTGACTATTAAAGTGTCTGTATATATATTTTGGGACACCCTATATATTATTTTTGCTTTTTTAAAGATTTTTTTTATTGATTTTAGAGAGAAAATAAGGAACAGGGAGAAAGAAGATGAGAGAGAGAGAGAGAGAAACATTAATGTGAGAGCAAGACATTGATAGACTATCTTCTATATGCCCCCTACCTGGGATCCAGCCAGAAACCCGGGCATGTACCCTGAATGGGAATTGAACCAGAGACCTTTTGGTGCATGGGGAAATGCCCAACCAACAGAGCTATACTGGTCAGGCCATATCATATTTTTAGAAGGTATATTTGCACATTGTTAAAAACACACACAAAAACTGACAAAATAAGACTGGTCTTTTTTCCATTCTATCCCCTTGTCTCCTTTCCATTCCCTCCTACACCATGAAAATGCTAGTACTATTTCTTACAAAAATGTGGAAAGTCCATATATATTCAACTACCTACCCATCCCCGTTTTTCTTTTTCTTTTTCTTTTCTTTTTTTTTTTTCTTAAATATATTTTATTGATTTCTTTTCATCCCCGTTTTTCTTAAAGAGAAATGGAAGGTTATAACAAAACGTTACATTTACCCTTAGATTTTGTGATTCATATCATTTAAGAAATTTCTTTGGAGTAAGATTTCAGCCTGTTCTTTGCTCACTAGTTGACCCATTACCTTCCAACAGAGTCCAAGCATATCCATCTTCCTCACCCACACCCATACACATCCTGCACTCCCCCATGCCCAATCTTCCATACCCCAGCCCACCTATCCACTTACCTGCCCAAAGTAGTATGAGGCTTGGGAAGACTACCCAAGGAAGCATGATGGTATCAGCCTAAAGGGAAGAGAAAAAAAGGGACTGTTTGGTTTTCCCTTAGCAGATGATATGGGGACATGTCTTAATTCTCAGATTGAAACTTTCCTTGTACCCTAATTGCATGCATCACATGTGCCTACCCTGCTATGGATGGGAGAACACATACAATGGCTTTAAGTCTTTGTTAGCTCAGGATTGCTAAGAGCTCTGTACTTCCGGCAAACAGGCAAAGCTGCCCTTGGAAGTAACCCCAGCTCCTTTTCCATACATAAAGTCCAAATTGACTCCCGATGTTCAGAGAGATTAGGGAGTAAACAGGAAGGAAACCAGAGCCAGGCTCAGTGGGGGGAACACCAGAGCAAAGACCAGTCCTCCCATGGTCCTGATGCACTTACCCTTGGGCTCTGAGATGACCGTCTAAGGACCTTTGGTGAGTAGAGGGTTCTTCTTGCCCTGTGGCCACAATGGTTAGTCCCTAGCCTCAATTATATTGCCAAGTTATCTATTAACAAGGATTAAGACAGAATGTGAATCACTGTTTTTCATCATTCATGCTACAGGAAGCAAAGACTCAGACTGCATTTTATTGAATGATGTCAGGAGAATATTTCAAAAGGAGAATGTGGACCAAGCCTGGTGCTCATAGACACAGACTCAGAGCAAAACCCCAAAACTGAAAGTCTATTTTCATAAATGGGGGGCATAGAGAGATGACAAAAGAAGCAGGCCACTCCAATCAGGCAAATAACAGTTAAAAACAAAACAAAACAAAACAAAAAACTCACATGCAAGCTTCTTCTCTGGTGACTGCAAAACAAAATGGATGACCACACTTCTTGGCAGGGCACAAATAATTGTATAGAGTAAAGAATGGGGACAGTCATAGATACTAGTTTCTGAATGCTACCAGCTATTGGAAATTACTTTACATGCTTGGCAAGGAAAGGACAAAGGCCTGCTCTAAGAATGGTGCATGGCAGGAGGCAAAAAAAAGTGCACCGATTAATGTCAGAATGAATATTGATTATATCAGACAATCAAAGGGGGGTTTATGGAAAGCAATCTCCATTCTGGCCTGAACTAGTTTGTGGGACAAACAGAAGTCATGTTGTGGAACAGTCACTCCTCGCACTCAACCCCTCATGACTGCTCTTACACTCTCATGCCACCTCCCTTCTACAAGGTCACCTACAGGTCAGCAGGAACTTCAGTGACAGGGAGGTAGCTCAGTTATGGCTAACTGACTGCATTGAAGACACAATTCTCAGTGTCTTCAATGTCTCAGTGTCTCTTTCCGTACAAGGAAAGAGACAAATTAAAAGAAGCAATCTAAGTATTGATAACAATGTTTTTCATCATGCTACCCCAAGTCCTAAATCTGTTAGTTGTACTAAGGAAAAAAAAGAAATATTAGCAGATGGATTGAGTATAAAAACACAGCATTCAGTTTGGATAATGAATGCTTCCCCCCACCACTATACTCCACATAAGAGGACACCATAAGAAGAGCAGGTTTAAGGTCAGAAAGACAAGTATTTGGTAGGGACTTGAATTAGGAGATCTTCTCCTTCTTTGAGAATTACACTTGCATCCTAGCCAAGCTGTGTAAACCATATGTTGTCCAAGAGGAAGTTGTGCTGTCTGGGTCAGTAAGGGAATATGCCAGAAAAGGATCTATTCTTTTCTCTTTCAATGGTGCATATACCAGTCCATGTACTTATACCAGTCCATGTACAGTGTATCACCATGCATGGGTCCCAATGGCATTAGAATGACAGGGTCCCACCAGAGACTAAGCAGTTTTTCCACACTCAAGAATGTGAAGACCGCCGAAACCGGTTTGACTCAGTGGATAGAACATCAGCCTGCAGACTGAAGGGTCCCAAGTTTGATGCCGGTCAAGATGTACCCTGGTTGCAGGCACATCCCCAGTAGGGGATGTGCAGGAGGTAGCTGATCAATGATTCTCTCTGATAGATGTTTCTAACTCTCTATCCCTCTCTCTTCCTCACTGTAAAAAATCAATAAAATACTTTTTTTAAAAAAGAATGTGAAAACCTATTCTGGTGGAAAATCTCATTGTAGAGTCTACTAAATGGTTCTTGTTCCAGGGATAGAGGGTTTGATGCCCTCACTATCATAACTCCTTCATCCATGGCAGGTTTAGAGCCTATCCCTTTGTTTTCTACACCTTTAACACAAAGAAGAAAATCCTGATTTTTCTTTCAGTTTACTTTTATAAAAATATATTTTAATTGATTTCAGAGAGTAAGGGAGAGAAAAAGAGAGACAGAGACATCAATTATGGGAGAGAATAATTGATTGGCTGACTGCTGCTTGCCCCCTCTTGGAGATTGAGCTCATAACCAGGGCACGTGTCCTGACTTGGATTACAACCGAGACCTCCTGGTTCATAGAATAGCACTCAACCACTGAGCCACACTGACTGAGCTGTATGAGTTTACTTTTGATATTTTAAGTTCATCAAATTAGCCATATCCAGATAACTCAGTTGGTTAAAGCATCATCCCAGTAAGCCAATGTTGCTGGTTCCATACAAGAATAAACTAATGAATGCATAACTAAGTTAAACAACAAACTGATGTTTCTCTCTCTCTCTCTCTCTCTCTCTCTCTCTCTCTCTCTCTCTCTCTCTCTCTTTCTCTCTCTCTCTCTCTCTCAAATCAATGACAAAAATATTAAAATAGCCAAAACCGGTTTAGCTCAGTGGATAGAGCATCGGCCTGTGGACTCAAGTGTCCCCGGTTTGATTCCGGTTAAGGGCATGTACCTTGGTTGTGGGCACATCCCCAGTAGGGGGTGTGCAAGAGGTGGCGATCGATGTTTCTCATCGATGTTTCTGACTTTCTATCCCTCTCCCTTCCTCTCTGTAAAAAGTCAATAAAATATATTTTAAATATATATATATATTTTAAAATAATAAATCTACTTAATTAAAATCTATTCTAATTTTAGAATGCTTACCCAGGTAAGAACAATAGGCCTATACCAGGGACCAGCACATAGCATCAAGCAAGGAAGTGGTGCTCATTTATGTTAGAATGAACATCAATTGTCATCAGTCTCTAACTGAGAGATGTGGAAAGCAAACTCTGATCCAGCCCAAGTCCAGCTCATGGGAGAGACAGCGGTCACATCAAGAAAGAGTTTCATCCTCACTTAGGTTCAGATCCCAGCTCTGCCACTTAGGAAGCTGGTAGCTCTGTGAGTAACTAAGTTGAACCAAGCCTTAATTTCCTCATTCCTTCAATGGGGCCAAAAACACTTGTTCTATCTCCCCTTAAAGGGAGATATGATGAACAAAAGTCTGTGGGTGAACTCAAAACTAAACCTAAATATGCATGAATACTACAGCCACCATTTCTGGAGAATTACTGTCTCATGGAATCTGTGCATTTTCCTTTCACCCTTAGGCAGGTGCTGTTACTAACCCATTCTTGGAGGAGGAAGCTGGGGTTTGGAAAGGTTAAATGAGCCTAGATACTCACTTTCCCTTTATGCTTTGTCTTTATATACTTACACTATTGACCCTACTTCAACCACCACCAAAGGTTTCTAGATCTCTAGCTCTCTCCCTTCCTCTCTGTAAGAAAGTCAATAAAATAAAAAATAAAAAAAAATAATAATAAATAAAATTAGTCCATTGAGTTCCTCCCCTTATGTCCCAGGCTCTTCTGGAACTGCTGCCTCTGTGTTGAAGCTTAGAGGGCGGGAATTCATGTGAACCCTCCAACTACAGTGCTAGGTCTCCCATAACCCTTCCTCCATCTCAGACAAAATCCCCACTGGTGTCCAAAGCTGGATGTTATAGGAACTCTTTGGCACAGTACCCTGTGCTATGGAGCTTGAAGTGGAGTTCAGACCTCTGGCTCTTTAGGGGGGACCTCTGAAGCCCTCCCATTTATTCATCACCACACAAGGAGTTTGGGACCTGCCCAGACCCCATATTCACACTTACCTGTGTCAACGTGGCTCCTTCTTTATAACCTTAAAGGTCGACTTCTATTCAGCTGGTCTTCAGGTAGTCCTCAGTGACCTTTGTGCAATAATTTCCACACGTACTGGAAAAATATGAGTTCAGGATATACCTATTTGGTCACCTTGTTTCCTCTGGGCCCTCCCCTGGAATTTTCCTTATCTTCTATTGGCTCAATTATTGTTGCCATAGTATGCTACATAATATTCAGAAAGCTCAAGCACTTAAGTTCTGGTTTTCTCTTCCGCATACTTCCAGAGGATAGTACTTTCAGGAAAATTAGGAGGTTCCTAGCCCCTCAGGTAGTTTCCCCCAAGGGTTTTTATAGATAAAGACAACTTTCTTCCAGCATTCCATTCTTTATCTTTTTGCCACACCTTGACATCAGACCATTGGGAAGTATCTTTGAAAGTCAAACTTCAGCAGTCTTCCACAATCTCTTTACTGGATGTATCTACTTCCTATATTAAATAAATTATAAGGAGATATTAGTGGACTGGAAAACATTTGTTCTCTGCTAGGCTGTCTTTAAGATTCAGCCCAGAACCGAAACCGCATTGGTCTGCGGACTGAAAGGTCCCAGGTTCGATTCGGGTCAAGGGCATGTACATTGGTTGCGGGCACATCCCCGGTAGAGGGTGTGCAAGAGGCAGCTGGTCAATGTTTCTCTCTCATTGACATTTCTAGCTCTCTATCCCTCTCTCCTCCTCTCTGTAAAAAATCAATAAAATATATTTTTTTTAAAAATAAGATTCAGCACAGAGCTTGATTTTAGGTCAGACTCTGGAGCCAAAAAACCATGCACATTTTGAGACTGTTTATCTATGAAAGGGTTCTTATGGGGCCAACTCCTCAACTTATAATGAATAAACTGAGGACCAAAAAGAGGACTAGAGGATGGGACCCACAGAAAACACACTGTGGGACCGACACAGAAGAGAGAGCCTAGAGTGCCTACTTCTACTCAACTGTTCTTATTATTCAACAAACATTATTTCACCAAATACCC